TTTTTGTACCGGGGATTGAAGTCAGGTCCTTGAGCTTGTGAGGCAGGCAGTGGAACCATTGAGCTAAATCCCCGGCCCCATAGGAGTGATATTATTTCTTACTGAGGTTAGCTTAGTATCAGTCTGAAAGGTGTTTTCTAGAGAAACCACTAAAATGAAAGTGAAAGTATTACCGAAGGAATTAAAATGCTCTGAAAATAATTAATTTAGTGCAAAGGAAACAAGAACCAAAAAAGACATGAACTACATTAAAAAAAGTAAAATAGATATAAATCTAACTACATCAATTAAAATCTGTCAGATTAAACAATCCAATCAAAATTGTCAGGCTGGATAAAAAACAAAAAGTCCAACAATGCACTGTTTACAGCAAACGCACTTTAGATTTAACAATATAAATAGGTTGACATAAAAAGAAGGAGCAGAGGGCTGAGGATTTAGCTCAGTGGTGCTGCCACCTGCCTTGAAAGCACGAGGTCCCAAGCTCCATCCCTGGTACCAAAAAAAAAGCAACAAAGGATATTAGGCAAGCCATAATAACCACAAGAAAGTTGGTGAGGGTATCTGCACTGAAAAACCTTACTAGAGATCAAGAGGAACTTTTCTTTTTGCAGTGCTGGGAACTAAACCCAAGGCTTTTGCAATGAGCTCCATTTCTATCCCTGTTTATTTTGAGCAGGATCTTGCTAAATTTCCCAAAGGGACTTGAACTTACAATCCTCCCTTCGAAGCCTCCCAGAGCGCTGGAATGACAGGCACATGCTACCACCAGACTTGACAATGAGGGACACTTTGAAATAGCAAAATGGTCACTCCATCACAAAGACAGCAGTTTTGTTTTTGTTTTTCTTTTTTCCTTTTTGGTCTGGGGATTGAACCTAGAGGCACTCTGCATCTCCAGCTCTTTTTATTTTTTATATTTTGAGACAGGGTCTTACTAAGATTCCCAAACAGGACAGACTTGGGATCCTATTGTCTCAGCCTCTCTGAGCACTTGGTGTCTCAGTTACTTTCTTGTTGCTGAGACAATATACCCAACACCCATAATGGTAAGTTTACTTTGGCTCCCAGTTTGTAGAGGTTTCAGTCCGCAGTCAGCTGGCTCCAGGGCAGGGTGACATGGTAGAGGACATCTCAGAGGAGAACCAGGTCTTGGTGTAGCACAGGAAGCAGACATCAAGGGAGGAGAAGGGAAACAGAACAGGCCATGGACGAACCCCTGCCCGGTGTGTGCCACCAAGCCCTGCTGAGGTATAACCGTTGTAAACACATAGGCACCTACAAACAAAACTCCAAAATACACACAGCAAACCCAGACGGAATGAAAGGACAATTCAACAATAATAGAGGCTGTAGTGCTCTGCTTCCAGTAATAGAAAAGCTAGGCAAGGCTGGGCGTGGTGGCACACACCTGTAATCCCAGCACTTGGGAAGCTGAGGCAGGAGGATCGCTGTGAGTTCGAGACCAGCCTGGGCTACATTGTGATTTCCAGGTCAGTCTCAACTACATTGTGAGACCCTGTCTCAAAACACACACACACGCACACGCACACACACACACACAAAAAAAGTAGGCAAAAGATCAAAAAGGAATTTAGCTCAGTGGTGCTGTCACCTTTCTCCAAAGTGCAACGTCCCAAGATGGATATCTAGTACCAAAAAAAAAAAAAAAAAAAAAAGGAAATTCAAATGAAACAACGGGTATCTGTGGAACACCTAACAACAGCAGAAAATACATTCTTTCCAGGTGTACATGAAACATCCTTCAGGCTGGAGAGTGTGCTAAACTAAAAAAACAGTAAGTTGAAAATATTGAGATCTACAGAGTACTTTCTGTGACCACAGTGAAGTAAAATTATTAAAAATAAGCAAAATTTGTGAAATGCACAAATAATATGGAGGTTAAACAGCTCAATACTAAATGACCAATGAGTCAAAAAAATGGTCAAGGAAATAAAATATTTTAAGATGAGCAAAAATAATGAGACACCATACTAAAACTCATAGGACTCAACTGCAACAATAGGCAGAGGGAAATTTACATCTACAAATGCCTACACATTAAAGAGAAAAAGTCTCAACCTAACCATCCAACCTGAGAGCTGGAAAAAGGGCAAACCAAACCCACACCAAAGAGAAGGAAAGAGAAAAAGATTCAAGTATAATTAAGAGACTAGAAAAGCAGTAGAGAGCTGGGCAGGGTGGGGCACGCCTGTAATCCTAGCACTCAGGAGATTGAGGCAGGAAGATTTCTGTGAGTCTAGACCAGCCTGGCTACATAGTGAGTTCCAGGTCAGTCTCAACTACATAGTGAGACCCTGTCTCAAAAACAAAACAAAAAGAAAAGCAGTAGAGAAACTACTTAGTTTGGTGTAAATAAGTGTCCTTTAAAGAAGATCAACAAAATGGATAAACCTTTACCTGAAATGGTAAAGCAGAAAAAAGTTGCTATGGCTTCGATGTTTTTCCTTCAAAACTTCTGTTACCATGGGTGTGGTGTCACAATGTCTCATGCCTGTAATCCCAGCACTTGGGAGGCTGAGGCAGGAGGATTGATGGGCATTTGAGGCCAGCCTGGGCTACATAGTTCAAGGCTAGCCTGAAACACAGGGAGACCCTGTCTCAAAACACCAAAAAACAAAACAAAAAAAACTTGTGCGGCAGTGTAGTCATCATCAAGTTTGTGTGTCCATGGTATTTGAAGGTCAAGCCTGGGGGAGCAGTTAGGGTTCAGTGAGGTCAGGAGAGGGCCCCATACCTCCCTTCGCTTCCTCAAAGCCAAGACCTGGGCTCCTATTCTGCCCTGTGAATGACCCTAGCAGGGATCTTCACTTTGCAATAGCAAAGGGATAAGACAAGCCTGAAGTTGCTAAAGTCAGAAACAAAGTAGAGAACATTACTCCCAACTGCAGAGATGAAGAGGAGCATAAGAACATATGAAAAAGGCCTTGGGATTTAGCTCAATGGTGCTGCTGCCTGCCTTGCAAATGCAGAGTACCAAGTTCGATCCCCAGTACAAAAGAAAAAGGAAAAATTCCAACAGCTTAGACTACATAGTGAGACCTTATCTCAAAAATGAACAAAAACAACCAACCCAATAAATGTTAAAATTAATGTAATGTACCTTATCAAAAGAATAAATGATATAATCTCATTAAAAATCATTTTAAAAAATTTAGCATCTGGCTGGGTGTGGTGGCGCACACCTTTGGTCCCAGCACTGGGGAGACTGAGGCAGGAGGATCGCTGGGAGTTCAAAATCACTCTACACAGTCAGAGCCTGTCTCAAAATGAATAAGTAAAATAAAATTAAGCATCTGACCCATCGGTAGAGTACCAGGTCCTAGGTTCTATCCTCGGCACTCCATAAATAATGGTCTCACTATGCAGTACATGCTGACCTTGAATTTACAGTGATCCCCCTGCCTCAGCCTCCCAAGTACTGGGATTACAAGCATGTGCCACCCCCTGCACAGCATCATCTTTCATCCCTTTTCTTTCCAAAAGCAACAGAGAGAAGCTTTCTCAGAAGTTCACTTCTGTGACTGAGATTATTTCCCCTAAAGGAAACGTAGTTGTCTTAAGCCATTTACCGAGGTGTTTCATCAGACTGCTAAGAAGGAACAACCTCTGGAGGAAGCGACTGGAAGTCGTGACTGCCCAGATGCACTTTTGTCAACCTCCTAAGGGTGGCTGTCTTAGTCAGCTGCCCGCTGCGAGACACAGTACCTGATGCCCACAATGTAAAGGAGGAGAGGATTCACTAGGTTCACGTTTAAAGCGGCTTCAGTGCGCTGTCAGTTGCTCCAAGGTGGGAGCATCACACGGCTGAAGGTCGTGACAGCGCAAAGCTGTTCAGATCCTGGTGTCCAGAAAGCAGAGGAGAGCAGTGTTAGGGAGGGCAGAAGGACCCAGTGTGGTGACCAGAGTCACACCTCCATGACTCACCTGGACACACCCGACACGTGCACCCCATCCCATTGACATCCTGAAGCAGAACCACCACTGCCGTTGGGAAGATTACCTGAGAGACTTCCTGCATGCAACCTCTTCCTCTTGCAGTCAAGCTCTGCCCCCTCCCTTCCAGTGATGTTTTTTTGCTTCTCCCACAGCTGCAAGGAGCACTGCCCAGGCCATTGCTTGCTCTTGATACAGCTCAGTTATTCTAAAAATCATTTACTATCTGTCAAATTGACTGCAGCCCTCTTTCCCCTTTCTCTCTCATGACAAGGACATTGACCTTCAGGCATCTGCCTTTCTGTGAGCTTCACATTTGCGTGGCTTTTTGTGCTCATTCATGTTTGTCAGCTTTCTGCTGTCACACAATACCTGAGTACACGGTTTATAATGAGGAAGTTTATTTAGGCTGATGATTTCAGGATTCCGGTTCATGCTTGGTTGGACCTGTTGTTTTGGGCCTGTGGTGAGGCAGCACATCATGGTGGAAGTGTGGGGCAGAGGAGGCAGAGAGACACGAAGGGCTCCAACCCCAACACCTGCTTGAAGCCAGCAACCCCTGGTGACCTGATTCCTTCCAGTGCCCCCCACCCCATAGTTTTCCACCACCTCCCAGCAGCGTCACAGGCTGGCAACTGAGCCTTGAGCATATGGCCTTTGGGGACACTTAGGATCCAAACCGTAACTTGTTAAATGGACATGCATGTTTGTCTCCTGTTGGCCTTTTTTTTTTTTTTACCCCCCAGAGAAACTGGAGAGGGCAGAAGAGAAGTTTCCCTTGCCTTTGCAGTGGCTTTATGGCCTTAGGTTGAACGCGGATCATTTTGTGTTTTGCTTTGTTTTTGTTTCCTGGGGATCAAACTCGGGAACCGTGCCACTGAGCTAAATCCCCAGCCCTAAGCTGATCTTTTCTGAGGCTCAGTTTTCTTGTCTTTAAAATGAGCATTCAAGAAAATAATATAATATATCCTTGAGCCTGTTGAGTCTTTAGAATTGACCCGGGATGGCAAACCCTTTAGAGATGTGTACCTAAACTTCAGCCCCAACCCACTTTTTTATCACAAAGCGCTATCCGTAGAGAGCAATTCTACATAAATTTGGGGGGGAAATCATTTTATAATTAAAGTATGACTACAGCTGTCAAAAGCCCAGTGTCGCCTGGCCCGAGAGCCGGCTGTGGCATGGGAAACACAACGCTGCCTGCCCCCGGTCACAGCTGAGGCTCAGTGGTTCTTTGAGAATGGAGTAGTAATAAAAATTAAAGAAAAAGAAGAGAAAGGTTTCCCCTGGGGAGGGACGCATTCCTTATCTACTTATCTCATCCCGCCCACTGTGGTGAGAACACACTCCTTACACTGCTGCTCTGCACAAGAACCCGCTGATGTAAGATCGTCATCTGCTTAAATTCCTCGTCCTGGGATCCCCTCCCGCACATCACCGATGCTCCCTCCAATCGTTGCACCTCTTTGCCTGCGCCTGTTCTGAGGCGCTGACCTCCTGGCCCCCATGGACTTTGAAATTACGCAAGTCTCTGTTGTCTTATTTTCTTTAGCCCCCGCTGTCCCCTTTCTAGGCAGTTGAAGGATTGATCACCCTCCAATAGATAGCCAACACTGCAGTGAACCTCAATACTGAAAAAACAACTCATACATTGACATCCTTTGTCTTAAAAAAAAAATAACACAGCGGCTGGGGGTTTAGCTGAATGGCACTGCGCCTGCCTCACAAGCACAAGGTCCTGAGTTTGATCCCCAGTACAAAAAAGAGAAAAAAACATGTGCCATAGGTTCACCAGCACTGGTAGAGACACTAGCGATGTGACTTACTAAACACTCAGGATTTCCACTTCAGGTTGTATACGGATATTACACAGGGAAATAAGAGAGAAAGCGCTTGATAGGCTTGAGAATTGTAGGTATTTTATAAACTTAGTCTTTGAAAAAAGTAATGGACATTTTAAACGTTTCCAGTACTAGAGATAAATAATCACTCATACTCCTACCCTGCTGTAATTGGTATTATTGTAGTTTTGTAGATTTTTTTTTTTTCCAATTTGGGCACTGAAACATTTTAAATTTTTATCAGCATGTGTTCGTAGTACCTAATGATTACATTCTTCATGGGGAGCTGGTGCATGGACGCAGCTCGTCATAGTTTCTTTATGTCTCCTTCCCTTCTTCTCCTTCCCCCTCCTCAATCCTCTGCTTGGGCATTTTAGGGCTGAATTTATTTTATAATCTTTTTTTTATATACCGGGGATCAAACGCAGGACCTTGTGCTTGTGAGGCAGGCACAGAGACACTCAGCTAAACCCCCAGCCGGTGAATTTATTTTAACTTGAATTTTTTAAAATCCTATATTACTTGTAATTCTTTTTTTAAACTTTTATTAATTTTATTGGTACATTAAATGAATACATTATAATGACATTCATTGTTGGAAATTTGTATCTACATAATCAGTCTTGGTTCTTATTTAACTTGTAATTCTTTTGACAATTTTTAGGCCCTACTTTCCCCACTTGGTGGCCTTTTGATTGTTTAGTTTTATAAATACAGAAGCAGTACTTTATTATTTTATTTTATTTTTGGTACTGGGGATTGAACTCAGGATCTTGCGCTTGCAAGGCAGGTAGCAGAACCACTGAGCTAAATACCCAGCCCAGTACTTTTACTTTTGATCAGGTGTAACGGTTTCGTACTCTGTTGTATTTTTATATTTACCAAGATAATATAATGCAGTGATGTGAACTAAGATGCCCTTAACTTCATACTGGCTATGCATGAAAATCCAATTTGTGCTGAAATAACTCCAGGAAACTAAGATGGAATTATTAAAGTTCCTTTTTTCTACTTTTGAAACCTAAATGAGGGGTTTGGGTGGGTTTAGCTCAGTGGTAGAATGTATGTTCAGCATGTGCAGAGTCCTGGGTTCAGTCTCCAGCACCAAAGACAGCAAAACAAAACAAACAGTAAGTGATAACTCATTTTCCCAACAGCCATATTTTATTTTTGTAGATAAAGTATTTGTAATTGGTAGGAACAGAGTAGTTTGACTTAAACTGTACTGATGTCTTTTATTTAATTGAAGGTCCATTTTGGCCTCTTATCTTCTGAAGGAAAAGCTCAACATCTTGGGCAAACTGGGGTGCCTGCTGAGCTGTGCGGGCTCTGTTGTGCTGATCATCCACTCCCCGAAGTCTGAGAGCGTGACAACGCAGGCTGAGCTGGAAGAGAAGCTCACCAACCCAGGTAACTCCTGCTGGAGAGTGCCGAGCAGCCCCGTGTCCACCGTACTTGGCGTCGTTCTGGGGCAGCCGTGTGTGCAGGCCGACCCCAGCTGCGCAGACACTGACCAGGCAGCAGACCGACCCCACACGGGGTTCCTGACACCTGGGGGCCCTGCTCTCCAGGAGGGTGATGAGGGCCTCCTTCCTGAGCCCAGCAGCTCCCTCCCGCTCTGCACCCTGCTGGGCTGTGCTTTGCTCTGCCTGGCTCCTGCCCTACCCCTCTGCTCTCTGGGCTCTCCTGCTCAGGTGTTCCTTCCTGCCCCCCCGCCCTGCAGACCTGCTGGTGAGGCACCTGTGGGCTCTGCTCTGTCTTCCCGCACCTCACCTGCTGATGGGAAACTTAGAGTAGAGACAGGGTTTTGTATCTGTGTGTGTTTGACGTGTACTAACTTTTTTTTTTCTCATTGAGTCTATTGGGGTTTTTTTGTTTGTTTTGACACGTAATAACTTATTTTGACAGATGCAAAAAACAGTGCGGTCACACCCACTTTAAAGTACAAAGCTCCTTTAAATTATGCCCATTCGACCACCCTGTGATCACCCTGCTGGTTACCAAGTTCTGCTGCAAGACCCACAGAGTTGCCTTCATACAGGTGTCTCCAGGCCACAAACCACCGGATGCCCCTTTGAAGTCCTTAGTGACAGTGATGGAATAGCATTGAGCTGTCCGTAAAATTTTAAACAGGAGCCAGGTGTAGTGGCGCACGCCTGTAATCCCAGCACTCGGGAGGCTGAGGCAGGAGGATCACTGTGAGTTTGAGACCAGCCTGGGCTACATAGTGAGTTCCAGGTCAGTCTCAACTATACAGTGAGACCCTGTCTCCAAACAAAAAAAACTTTAAACAGGAATCCAAAGTGAAATTAACCAAGATGAGCCACCAACCCCTGATGTTTAGTTTTATCTAACATCCAACCCTGAGCATTGTGATATTCATTCACTCTCGTAAAAGCCAGAATGTAGCTAGGTGAGTACAGGGACAGTGGGAAAAAATGAGAGAATCAGATGTGAGCGGGCTCAAGGATTAATTTTGTTTATTTATTTATTTATTGGTACTAGGGATCAAACTTGGAACCTTGCGCTTGCGAAGCAAGCAGTGGAACCACTGACTAAATCCCCAGCCCAAGGATTAATTTTAAGTAATTTCCAGAAGACATATCCAGGGCTACTTTTATTTATTTATTTGGCAATGGTAGGAATTGAACCCAAGGCTTTGTGCATGGTAGGTGAATGCTGTGCCACTGAGCTGTACACCTAGCCTTTATACAGATTTAGATATGTAAGTATTTCAGTGACATTAAAATTTCGTGACAGTGAGCTATTAGGGGGGAAAGTATAAAATGGTCCCTACAAGGGAATGATAGTGAAAAGGCTGCTGGAAAAGAAGTGAAAAGCATCACAAAGCTGAGGGCCATCTGGCTGCCTGCTCTGTCATGTAAGAAACTAGGATGTGTCCCATGAAAATCGGCAGGTTTTCCGGGTGTGGCTTTTCTTCCCAAGCTGCCCAATTCTCACAGATACCAAGGCTGTTGTCCACAAGCCCACAGTGGCTGTGTACCCTCTCCTGCCCTCTCGAGCTAACTGGCTGCTGACCTCCTTTCTTCCTGCCCCTGCCCTTGAGCCCCTGACATTACACCATCTTGAGGCCTGGGACCCGTTTCTTTTGTTTTGTTTTGTTTTGTTTTTGAGGCAGGGTCTCACTATGTAGTTGAGACTGACCTGGAACTCACTATGTAGCCCAGTCTGGTCTTGAACTCACAGCGATCCTCCTGCCTCAGCCTCCCAAGTGCTAGGATTACAGGCGTGAGCCACTATGCCTGGCTGCCTGGGACCCTTCTGAAAGGCAGGCCCTTCCCATGACAGCCCTGCACCCTGCCCCTTCTCCGATGCAGTGTCTGCTTCTGACTCTGCCCTCTCCATCTTTGAACCTGCTTCACAGACACTGTGTTATGTTGCATCCTGTCTCTGCCTTTCGGTGCCTCTTTTCCAGGGTTTGTTTTGTTTTGTTGGTAGATAGGATCTCACTATGTAGTTCAGACTGGCCTTGAACTGTGTAGCTCACCTGAAACTCCCAGTGATTTTCCTGCCTCAGCCTCCCAGGTGCTGAGATTATAGACGTGCCCTACCATTCCCAGCTCACCCCTTGCGCAGTTTGTAGCTCAGCCTCCCACAAAATGGCCCTTTTCCCTTCGTTGCGCCTTCCTGAGTCCTCCCAGAATAGGGCTCCATAGTTCCCTTCCTCACCTCTGCAGGCCAGGGCTGTAGCTGCCTGCTTGCTAGTTTGTATTTCTGTATTGAATGGTTCATGTCCAGGTAGTACCCAGCCCTGGGAGGTTTAGTTTCCTCTTTATAATGTGGGGATGAAATTCATTAAAATAGGCTGGATGGAGTGGCCCATGCCTATAATCCCAGCACTCAGGATGCTGAGGCAGGAAGATGGCCACAAGTTCAAGGCCAGTTTGGACTACATAGCAAGACCACCTCTCAACAACAACAACAAAAATTCATCAAAATGCAGCCTCCTTGTATACCTCATTACACAGCAATGGATAGAATGCTGGAGCTGTAAAACAGAAGCAGCAGGATGCTACTTTATAAATGATCAGGTTGGCACAGGAGGAGGTGGGTGAGGACCAGCAGCCCTGTGGTCTGACAGCTACAGAAGCAGACTGTTTGGAGGCGCCCCTTCAGTGACTCCGACAGGGCCTTGCCATCCACAGCAGAATCCTCTGAGACAGACAATAACTCTTGAAGTTCCGGTTGAACAAAGAGTAATTTTCCATCAGTTTACATGGAAGTTGCATTTCTCAAAAATTCATCATGTAGGAGGAAATCCATATGAAGGGTACTTTATTTTGAACATAAGACAGGTTCTGGGCTCTGTTACTATGACCAAGTTTTCACTTCCAAGTCCAAGGAGACAGGCAGGAGTCATGAGAAGAGGGTCATGTGTGTGTGGGGCTCTCAGCAGCGCCATGCCCGCAGTGTACAGGCCCCTCCATTGTAACAGGTACTGACACCCCTGTTTAGGGTCCCCTTCACCCTTGATAGCTATTCACTAAGAATCTGTGGGACTGACTCTAGAGAATAAGGAAACCCATCTTATAGCTTGGTGCAGTGGCACAGACTTGTCATCCCACTGCTCGGGAGGCAGAGGCAGGAAGAGCACAGATTCAAGGCCAGCCTGAGAAAGAACCTTTTAAAAAAAAGAATTAAAGGCTGAGACAGGAGCATCACTTAAGCCTTGGAGTTGACCAGCCTGGGCAACATAGCAAGAGACCATCTCCAAAACAAACAACAAAACAAAACACAGGGCCGGGGATTTAGCTCAGTGGTTCTGGCGCCTACCTCGAAAGTGCAAAGACCCGAGTTCGACCCCCAGTACCAAAAAAAAAAAAAAAAAA